CCCCCCGAGCCCCCCGGTCACGGCCACCCGGGAGGCTACCCCGCAACGTCGGGCCCAGGCCCGGACTCCACGCGAGTCCTCGACCCGCAGGAAACCGGGCCAGCCGCGCAGGGAAGCCGAGGGCCCGAGGGCCGGGGGTTCGGGGCCAGCCAGGCCAAGCAGCGGAACACTCCGTCTCAGAGTTACACCCTAGGTGCACAAAGGGAGTTTTATCTCGGCACATCTGCAGGTGAACAGTATCCTAAAGAACCTCTCCCCCTCCCTCCCCCCCCTCCCTTTCCCGGTTTCAATAGGCTACATTGTTCTATTTTCACACCTGCATCTACCGCTGTCACCTTCATCCTCCTCAACGACCTTTATCAACCTTCCCAGTTCCTCCCTCCTCCCCATCAAGGGTTTTCACTGTGGTATTTGACATGCATGATTTATGAAAAGCAAACTTACTTTAAAGAGGAGGAGGGGCGCAGCTCAAGTGGTAGAGAGCTCAGCCTGCAATAAATAAATTAATCATGGTTAAAAGGTAGGGCCTTGCCCGGTACTGTCGACACCTGTAATCCTAGCTACTCTGGAGGCTGAGATCTGAGGATCACAGTTCAAAGTCAGGAAAGCCGTACAGGCTTATCTCCAATTAGCTATCAAAAAGCCAGAAAAAGGAGCTGCGGGTCAAGTGGTAGAGTACCAGCCTAGAGCAAAAAAATGAGAGTGCGAGACCTTGAGTTCTAGTCACAGTAATAGTGACAAACAAGAAAGGGAGGGGAGAGGGAGGGATAGAGGGAGTGAGGGAAAAAGGAAACCTCTGGAGCTTACATTCATGTGGGGAAAACATGAAAATGTACGCAAAAAAAGTACACCTAGAGCCTGTCAAAAAGAATGAAAAACTCAGGGAGATGAGACTGGATTGCCCCAGAAGCTGCAATTTTAGGGACCCTCACTGGGAAAGGCATGCCAGGAAAGAAAGGAGACTGGGAAGTGCCTGGAGAACTTGGGCCCCTAGAGCAGTGAACATAGGAGCCCTGGGGCAGAGGAGAAAAGGAAGCCTCCCGTGGCCTAATGATGAAGGCCAATGTGGACTCTGACTTGCGGATAGCTGAGTTCAGGACTGGTGGGATCTGACTTCAGTCTTAACGGGAACACGCAGGACTCTATGTTGTGATGAGGGGGAGAGCATCGGCAGAGGCAGCAAGCGAAGCATAAACAGGGGCTGGGAAGGTGGCTCAGTGGTAGCGCACTTGCCTTGCATGCCTGAGGCCCTGGGTTCGATTCCTCAGCATCACATAAGCAAAAAGGAAAAAGCCAGAAGTGGCGCTGTGGCTCTAGTGGTAGAGTGCTAGCCTTGAGCTGAAGAGCTGAGGGACAGCGCCCAGGCCCAGAGTTCAGGCCTCACAACCGGAACCCCCCACCAAAAAAAGAAAAAAGAAAAAGCATAAATAGGCAGGTGTGAGGAAGATGGCAGTGCTGGGACCCAGCTAAATAGATTCCGTGCTTGTCACCAGGTGTAAGGTTCGCTGTCATCCTGGGTACGGGGCATGGGGGGAAAGGGATTCATGGTATCCAGTCTGTTTTGGTGCCAGTACTGGGGCTTTGAACTCAGAACTTGATGTCTCTCAGCCTTTTCCCTCAAGGCTGGTGCTCGCTCATTTGTTCCACAGCTCCACGTCTAGCTTTTTGGTGACTAACTGGAGATAAAAGGCTCACACACTTTCCTTGCCAGGGCTGGTTTTGAATCACAGTCCTCAGGTCTCAGCCTCCTAAGTGTATTTAGGATTATAGGCAGGAGCCACCGGCTCCCAACTCGTGCTTTTAACACGTGCCATCCTTGCACCTCACGCCTTACCAAAGGAGATGCTCTGGCTCAGAAAATGGCCAACTTAGTGTAGAACGACAAGTCAACAATGTAAAACGACTGGAAGATGTCCACAGATGAGTGCACTTATCTGGAGATTGGGAAAGGCAGGCAGTGCACGTGCATGCACACACGTGTGTGCCGTGCACCTAGAATGAGGAGCGTGTAGGCAGTCTTAGCTGGAGACTAAGATGACTTGGTCAGCGGGAGGCTTGGGTTTCAGAAGACCTGGGGTTTGTAACCATTGGGAGAGCCAGCAAAGACATTAAAAAACTTGATTCTAGACAGCCAGGAAGAAAATTAGGAGAGCGCAGGGCTCTGGCAGCTGAAATAGATGGTTTCAATGGAGAGGTGATGAAAGGTGTCAGGCAAGGGCAGATGAGAGTGAGCGTCAGCGTTCAGCAGGGCCACTGGAGAAAACCAGGAGACTGTCACCAGAGCACAGGGAACTCACTGAAGGCCGCGGTGATGTTTCTGAGGGAAGATATCACAGCCATGGCAAACGGTGCTGGAAACAACCGCACAGGGGGATTTGCCTGCCTTGAGGCAGAGCCCTCAGGTCTCACACCAGCCTGGGAGGGGCCGTCACTGTGGTCTGCACCAAGGGTAGGCACAGGCCCCACATGCACCCTGACAGCACTCAGATCAGGGAGCAGGGTGACAGGGACAGCTGAATGTGCCTGAGCTGCTTCCATCTTCTCTATGGAGAGTGACAGGAATGCAAACCATCAGTCATATGTGAGGATGGGCTGCTAGTGCCTACCAAGCATGAAGCCCTGGGTTCAAATCCCAGCATTACCCAAAAAAATGGCACTTCAAGAGGTACAAAAATAAGCCATGAGCAGGCTACTCAGGACACTGAGTTCTGGGGTTCATAGTATGATGCCAAGTGGGGCAGGAAAGTCTGTGAAACCCTTATCTCCACTAAACTACAAACAGAATAAAACAAAAACAAAAACTGGAAGTAGAGCTGTGGCTCAAGTGGTAGAACACTAGCAAACAGGACAGGGACAAAGCTCAGACCCTGAGTTCAAGCCCAAGGATGGGTGCACACAAGTGTGAAATTGTTCTTTACAAAGGGCATATAAGAACAGTATTACTTTTTTTTTTTGTTTTTTTAGGGGGTCCGGTCATGGGGCCTGAACTCTGGGCCTGAGCGCTGTCCCTCAGCTCTTCAGCTCAAGGCTAATGCTCTACCACTTGAGCCACAGCACCACTTCTGGCTTTTTTCTTTTTGCTTATGTGGTGCTAAGGAATCAAACCCAGGGCCTCCCTCAGGCATGCAAGGCAAGCACTCTACCACTGAGCCAACTTCCCAGCCCCAGTATTACTTTTAAAATTGAGATGTAACTTGCAAGACAAGCAGCTGAGCAAAGACAGGATACCACATGGCAGATATGAGGGAGGCAGGGAGCAGGGGAAGAAAGGAAGGTGAGGGCCAATGTGTGGTCTCCAGCTAGATCCCACCTCCAAACCACCAGGTCAGCTGTGAGCTCATCTACTGGTGAAGAGCCAATGTCATGTCAGACCAGAACCGTATTGAGAGAGAAAACACATCAACATCCTCTATCTCCATCCCTTTGTGCTCCAAGTCCCCATCCCCTTTCTGTTCATTTCTGCAGACTACTTTGCATTTTTTAGTTTGTAATTTTGTCTTTCCTTTTTTTTTTTTCCTTCTCCTGGTCCTGGGGCTTAAACTCTGGGTCTGGGCACTGTCCCTGAGCTCCTTTTCTTCAAGGCTAGCACCACTTGAGCCACATCCACGTAACAGCTTTTTCTCTAATTGGGAGCTGAGTCTCATAGACTTTACTTCCCAAGTCTGTCTCAACCTCCTGAGTAGCTTGGATTACAGGCACGAGTCACCTCCTGGTTCACTTAGTAGTATACTTAAGTGTGAAGGCTTTTTCCATGCTGAGGTGGACAATCACTCATCTACTCAGTGATAAGTACTGAGGCCCGAGTCTTGACATAGACAGTGCTTTTGATTTTCAGGATAAATCACTACAAATTATTTGTTTTCTTTTGGAAGTTACATCTAGTTAGGACTATAATCTGTTTGGGGTTTGACTCTTGTGCATCACATCCAATTATTTCATATTATTAAGATGTTTGCATCTCTGTCAAAAACTATTTGTCTACATGTATGGGTCAGTTGTGCTCTTCCACTCCATCAGACACACAGCCAGCCACAGAAGGACTGATCTACTGACCAAAGAACAGATGGGCAAATGAAGGGGGTTCTGGGTAAGAAGCATCGTTCATCAGCTTGCCTTAAGAGGAACATGGGTACTGGAAAGGAAGACATTTCAGAAGGACAATCAAGCAATGTGAGGTGATGTGCAAGGGGGGTCCTCCACCAGGGGTTTTAGGGAAGTGGACTGGGAGGAACTGGTTCGTCTAGATGGGAGATACCTGTGCATCCAACAGTAGGGGAGCAGCTGGGCCTGGGCCTCACCAGGAGCTAAGACTACAGGTAGACACTACAACACCCAGATTTCTGTAATTTTAAAACAATCTTGGGGAACAAAGCATAAACCAATAAAAAACCTAGGCTATAACTACAACTAACATTCACTTTATT